TCATGTGTTGGACAATGCAGGCATGTTCAGAGGTGAAATAATTAGATTATGAGAGCAACACCTCCATAGATACAATAATCCATTTGATGGATTAATAATTAAATGGATTATTGGGTAGTAACTGTAGGCACATGGGGCATGACTGAAGGAGGTCACCTGGGGCATGCCCTTGGGAATTATATTTGTCCCCAGCTCATTGTCTCCCTCTGCTTCCTGGCTCCTGTGAGCTGAAAAGCTCTCTTCCATCACACACATTCTGCCATGATGTTTGGTCTCATCTTGGGCCCAAAGCAATGGAATTGGCCAACTATAGACTAAGACCTCTGAAACTGTAAGCTCAAAATAAAACTTTTCTCCTTCATGTTATTCTTGTCAGGTTTGTGGTTATAGGAATGAAAAACTGACTAGCAATGCTGAATTGAACATTCATCTGCAAACATTTGTTTGATTCCCTTTCAGTTTCTCCTAAGAGCAGACCTGCTGGTTCATATGGTAAAACCAAGTTTAATTCTTTGAGAAACTATCCAACCAATTGCCATAGCAGCTGTGCCATTTTACATTTCTACCAGCAAAATACAAATGTTCCAGCTTTTTTCCATATCCTCTCCAATATTTGTTATTTTCTGATTTTTTAAAAAAATTATAACAAAGTAGTAAATGTGATGTTATCTCTCAGTGTGGTTTTGATTTGCAATTCCCTGGTGACTAATGATGTTTAGTATCTTTCCTTGTAATGTTGATAATTTCTATGTCTTTTATGGAAAAATAACTATTCAAATTTTTGTCCATTCTTAAATTAAATTCTTTATCTTTTTGTTCTTGAGTTGCATAACATGCTATCAGTTTCATTCCTTTCAACATGTTTATATAGAGAGATATAATATAGAAGTATGTAGAGATATAGACAGACACCGATATAGATGCACATATCCTGTGTTATCTTTTCATTCTCTCAATGGTGTCCTTAGATTCAATTTTGATAAAATCTAATTTATTCCTTTTTTTTCTTTCCTTACATGTACTTTGATGATACAGCTAAGAAATCATCTACTAGTTCAAGATCTTGAATATTATCTATGATTTATTCTAAGAGTTTTAGTTTTACCTTTTATATTCATTCCTTTGATTCATTTTTGAGTTAATTTTTGTATATTTTTAAAAGTAAGGTCCAACTTCATTCTTTTGCAATTAGATACCCAGTGTACTTAGTATGATTTATTGAAACAAACATTATTTTATCATTAAATGAGGAAAAGTTTGATTTGGAGGCAGAAACAACAAAACTTAAAGTCAATTTGCTGAAATCTTTATGTCCCGATTTCAATTTAACTCCCATTGGAGCTGCCCTGATGTCTTCATGGTGAGTAGTTTAAAGGAAAAAAAAAAAAAAATTCAAGCAAATGCCAACTTGATTTTATGGCAGATGGTACACACAGAACTTAGTAGACATTTAGAAAAACTAGGCACCTCAGACTCAGGCAGATACGTCTTGGGGTTCCCCAACCCTATTTCTATTTCAACCTGTTACACAGCTCCTTCTCATCATGTGCAGGCATGTGACAGGTTCTTGCCAATGGAAATGAAGCAGAAATGTGCCCTTTAAAACAGGTATATCTTTCCCAGGCTCTTTTTACATATTTACTGTTTGCATATAAATGATCTTGAGGTCCTGGGAGATGGTGGCTACTCAAGATGGAAGGCAACTTTGTTTTTTAATCATTGTGTGAAAAGCCACCTGCTCACAAGGAATACTAATTTTGGTCTTACAGGAGAAGAGCATCTAGTTGATGACCCAGAAATGTTCTCCTGAGGAAACCTTTAAAGTAAAACATTTAAGACATTTCAATTATGACCTTAATTGTAAAACCACTATAGATTCTGTGGTCAGAGTAAATTTTCAGTCAAATTTGTATTTATCTATGCAAGATCAAAAATTTCATAAAGGATTTTTTTTTCTTTTTTTGAAGTACCAGGGATTGAACTCAGGGGCACTTGACGACTGAGCCACACCCCCAGCCCTATTTCATATTTTATTTAGAGACAGGGTCTCACAGAGTTGCTTGGTGCCTCACTTTTGCTAAGGCTGGCTTTGAACTCATGACCCTCCTGCCTCAGTCTCCCAAACTTCTGGGATTGCACCACCTCACCAGGCAAGGATATTCTTAAGTTCATTCAATGTACTTCAAAATGAATAAAGTTTACCAAAAGTAAAAAGTATTCCCACTGTGATTTTCTGGACGCAAGTCCAGTAGTTCATGGTTAAATCTTTTTAAACCATATTAAAATAATATTGGAAAGAGAGAATTTAAAATTGCATATTAGTAATATTCACTAGCCAGTGAATGTAATACTGTTCTATTAATTCATTTATTCAATATTATCTGGTAAGTATCAGGTGCTATATTTGATAATGGGTGATGCAATTCTTAACAGGACAGTTTTTGCTTTTATGGAATATAGAGTGTATTGCCAAAGAGCGAGATTGTTCAAATAATCCCACAATGGAAATAGAGGGATGGATGGGGTTCATACAAAGAAAAATGGCAGAACTATTATGAAGTTTCCTGTTATAGTCTGGGAAGTGGTGAGGAAGTACTCTCTGAGGGGAAAAATAGTACTTGAGTTGAGATCTGACACATGATCAAGAGTGAACTTGACCAAAAAAGGCAAAGGGGAAAAGTATGTCTCAGAAGGTTGGGAAAGTCTGAGCGAGGAGGAAAGAAGAAAAATCCAGTAGACCAGGGTTGTGGAGGAGTATGCATGAGGAAGGGCAAGGTGTAGGAGATGAGTCCAGAATGGGATGATGTGAGGACAGGTGAAGAGTGGGTGAAGAATTTGTTCTTTTTATTCCTCCCCCAACTCCTCCTCCTCCTCCTCCTTCTCCTTCTTCTTCTTTTTACAATTAATAGAATATAACTGAACAGTTTAAGCGGAGTGTCCACAGGATAATGTTTGATGGTTTGTTGTTGTTCTGAAAAGCTTATCCTAGTTAACATGTGGACAGGATTGTAAAGAATTAGAGTGGACAGTGGGGAGGCCAGTGGATTTCATTGCAGTCCTTCAGCAAGGCAACGTATGGCCAAGCCCAGTGTAGGCAGCAGAGAAGGAAAATAAGGAGGTAATTTTAAAGACTGAATTAACAAAGCAACCAGCAGTGACATGGAAATCATATTTCAGAGAGTTCATTTTTAAAATTCTGATTTATTGCCTAAAATCCATGAAATAACACTAATAGAACTGAAAATGTCTTCCATGATCTTGGCACTCCACCCAATGTGCTCACTTTCCTTTCATTGTTCGTATGTTATTTCTGCATATGTGTATCTTAGATATTTTCTAGACTTTCTACTTGTCTGTCTTCAATAAAAAATGATTTCTCCAAGTAACATAAAACTACAGTTCTTTAAAATTAATTGAAAACTTTACAGTAGTTTTCTTAGTATAGAACAGATATAGTTTAAAGCACAGAAAGGGAATTCTGGATTTAGTAAGGAAGGATCTTGGAATAATGCATTCCAGATGAAAACACAGCAAGATTGGAAAGCCCAAATCCCTGAGGATTCCTACTCCTCAGTTCCCTTTCTATTCCCCTTCCCCCAACCTAATTTCTCAATGGTGCAACTGGAGAATTCCTCCAAAATTCCAGAATTTCTAATGATTTTCCTGTATTTCCTCAGAATTCCCAAGTAAGAAAATATTCACCATCATTGCATTCTTTTTTTTCCTTTTACCCAAACTACACAGACACTTCTTATACATCCATCTTTCAAAATTTACTTTCCAAAATCCTGGGTTTTTAATCCTATGCCTCACATTGCTATTTCTCCTAGTATCTGTAAAATATTTCTTCTTATTATTTGTATTTGACCAATCTCATTAAGGGGAATGGGAAAATAAACAAGGAGAGAAATGAATTACAGTAGATGGGGTAGAGAGAGAAGATGTGAGGGAAGGGGAGGGGGGATAGTAGGGGATAGGAAAGGTAGCAGAATACAACAATTACTAATAGGGCATTATGTAAAATTGTGGATGTGTAACCGACGTGATTCTGCAATCTGCATTTGGGGTAAAATTGGGAGTTCATAACCCACTTCAATCTAATATATGAAATATGATATGTCAAGAGCTTTGTAATGTTGTGAACAACCAATAAAAATAAAATAAAATAAAATTTTAAAAAAGCCTTTCTCATTTTGGAAGATCATTTATTTACTGTATTTTGGGGTCTAAGAACTAAATCATGAGTGAAGAAAAATTTTAAAGTTTTTTGGGGAAAAGCAGAACAGATGTGAGGTTGGAATGAAGTATGTTCAGCTCCAAACATATCAATAAAATAAATGAATTACTGAGCTTCAGCTGGGATTTCTGGAGATGGACTCCAGAGTCACAAAAATAATGGTTGTAACCTCAGAATATAAATTGTGCCATTATTCTCCTCAATAGTTTCTGGTTTTTAGGTCTTCATGAATTAAAAATTCTACTGCACAGAAAGCAGAAGAGATGCTCACCTGCTTTACTTTTGGGAAAATTAAAAATATAACAATATTTTCCCATGTTCTTAACAACAGAAGGTTAAAAATATATAGATTATAAATATGTATGTATATATATGTACACATAGGATTCCATTATTTTACAAGTGCTGAGGCCCACTTGTTTTTTTTTTTTTAATTATTTGTTCTTTTTAGGTATACATGACAGTAGAATGTATTTTGACATACTATACACACATGGGGTGTAACTTCCCATTCTTGTGGTAGTACATGATGTGGAGTTCCACAGGACATGTATTCATATATGAGCACAGGAAAGTTATGTGTGATTCATTTGAGACCCACGTAATCAAACTAAAATGATGCGAGTGTCCACTAAACAGTGGCAGTTGGTCTTAGGGCAAGGAGTTTGAAGTGGGATGCTGTTAAATGCTGAGCTTGCAAGGGCCACATGTACCTCAGGTTAGGGAGGCAGGGAGCAACTGACCTTGGTGTTTGTCCCATCAGGAAAATGTGTGCTTGGCTGCAGCCGTGGTGGTGAGGAAGAACAGACTATAAGACATTGCAGCTGTCATCTCACTTGACTTAAATTGGATCACAAACAATCTAACACAAGCTCCTTGTTGGATGAAGAAAAGCATTTCCACGGGTATTATTTTGAATTATTTTCCAAAAATTTCACTGCAAACTACTTGTTTGTTATTCAGAAAACCATTTGCTAAAAATCATATTATAATGTAATCTATATAATTATAATTCCAGATGGTTGTTGTTTCTTGTTTGGGGTATTTAAAAAGCATTTTAGTTTCCCCTGTCTACTGGTATACCAATTCTTTCGTGTCAGGGCATTCTCTATCTCTCTCTTTTCTTTTGTGGTGCTGGGAACAAGGCAAGGCATTCTGACTTGGAAGAAGAGGCTTATCTACCCTGCTAGGGTTCAAATGTCTCCACCAAAACCTATGTTGAATATAATTCCAATTGTGATATATTAAGAAGTGGGACCAGCTGGGGTCTTTGGAGGTAATTAGGGTTAGATGAGGTCATAGGGTCTCCTTTACAGGAAGAGGAAGAGAGACCCCAGTTAGCAAGCTTGTTTGGTTTCACTACATGATACCTTTGCACCAGCTCAGATTCTACGGAGTTCCCAACAGAAAAATCGCTCTCACCACATTTCTATTTTTTTTTGAAATAAATTACTTGGTTTGTGGTATTCAGTTATACACAGTATGTTTCTAATAGACTTGGGGTATCACTGAATAATGTATATACACTTATTTAGTAAACAGACTAAGACATACCCTTATCTGACAGGTCAGTTATGAGCAATGGGAGCAATGCTTGTCTTGAAGAAGTCAGGCAGGTAATATTGTTCTCAAGGACATCCAAGTGCTCATTTCCTCCTTTTGCCAAATTTTTCAGGGGCATTAGTCCATGGAGCTGATGCTGTGGGTCAACAGAAGATTCAACCAAGTTTGTTTGCAAGTAAAGATTCCAAGGTGAGGAGATACCTCCAGAGACCAGTAATTGGTAATTATGGTAGTGAAAAAAATTTATGTTTCATAAGAAAAAGATCTTCTACATTTGCATAACAGTAAATAAGCCTCCATTTAAGTGCTTGTCAAGCTAGATACTGTAAAATAAGGAATATTGGGGGTTAGAGTTGGCTTGAAGAGTAGACTGCTTTCCTACAGATTATTTGTAGAACTTGAAATTATAGGGATACAGAGCTTTATTTGTCTCTGAGATCTAGGAAGAGAGATGTAACTGTAAATAATAAGCATATTAAAATTACAAACTCTTTAAGAAATTTTCATCTTTCTTTTTCTTTAAAATCTTTCATTCAAGTGTAATTCTTCATAAGATTTTCCACTTTCTCTCCAATCAAGGATTTATATCAACTCCAAATTCTTTTCCATTTGACAAATTTATCTAATTTGATAAATAACTGTAAGCTTTTACAACACGGCCTTTAAGTTCATATATATCAAAAACATTAAAATCTATCTACATTTGGGTCAGCAATGTATCTTCTTGATCTGTCTTAAAGAAAACATTATGAGCCAAACATGTGATTTGCTTTCATAATTTTGCCTCAAACCCAGCTGTTATTCATTAGTACTTGCATTTGCCAAATCAGCATACACTTGCAGATAGTAATAATTTAAAAAAACAACAACAATTAGTTCTTACTTTTCTGGGAAAATCCTGATTTGCAAACATTGTTGCCAGCTGATGTTAATTTGTTAATTGATCTTTCAAAATTTTCATATGCAAATTTGAACTTTCAAAAATGAGGAATTATTTTGCCATCAAATCAATGCCAATGTTGAAGGCATTGGCCTTATCCAGATATAATCCTATCACGCTCAGGACTGGCCTTAAGTATGTGCAGTGCAAGAGCTGAGATAGATGACTTGCCAGGAACAGACAGAATTTCTAGAACTTTATCAAGTCACCTTTGGACAAAAAGCAGGTGAAATTCATCATTATAAACTTCAGTTCCTCTCAAAAAGTACATAGCCTTGAGAGGATGGTGCTTGAGATTATTAGCCATTTTCATTTTTATGTAATAAAAATTAGGACATTTGTCAAAAGAAGAGACCACATACAATGACCAAATGACTAAAAATGGCAAAGTATAGCATAGAAATCTAACAAAGCAAGGAAACAAAAACATAAATGAAACCCAGTAAGAGACTCTTATGGCTTGAGACAAATGTCGAAGACTGTTTCTAGTGTCAACTGTAGTTATTAAGACCTACCATGCTGATTCTAAGTACCATGCTCTGCAAGAAGCTAATATGTTGTGTTGTAGCCTTTTCGAAAAGTCACATAGAAGATGCTTTTTACTTTAAACCCTAGAGTTGAAAGACTAGAAACCAAGAAGAATAAATGAAAGCCATGATTGGTTAACTATGCAAAAGTTGGGAGCAGAGTCCTGGTGTGTATTAATTATGTGGTGTGTAAAATGGTACTGAGAACAACTTTGGAATAATGGGAAGGGCTACAATGAATAAAATTCTGTGGGGATGAAGCACAGGGACTGTAGCAACAAAGGCCAATATTTTTTCCATACAGGGATTAATTACATGGTCAAGAGCTGGAATTTACAAGGAGGTGTATTAAATAAAATAGCAGGCAAGCTTGAACTGCATTCCCACAAAAGCAATAAACTGGGAATACCAAGAGAACTGGCAAATGTAATCTTTCACCTCTTTTCTTAGGCACAGCTGTCCATGTACAGATTGGGAAGATGGAAATTTGTGACTAGCAAACTGCATGCCACAATGGAAAGATTCAATATGAACAATATCTTGTAAATATTTTTTTAAAAGGCCTGTGCCTCAGAATGGGAATTTCTCAAATGCACTTGATTATAAGTACAGTCGTATTACCCACTAAATTTCTATTATATTTATATTACATTGTAAAATATATTGAAGTGTAATCAATATAAATATCTAGTATATTTTTGCTACTCTTGTCATTACCCTTCTCCAGAGAATTCTTAGGGAATTTTTCCATTTATTTCTTAAGTCCTTGGCTATATAAGCTCATCTTGTGCATGCGGCCTCCCAAAGCCCTGGAGAGCCAATCAGTTCTTCTGGAACTTGGCAAGTTTCTTTCTGAAAATGCAGTGTGGAATCTTCAACAATGGAGGTCAAAGCACAGGACCACTTATAAGTTTATCCACGTAACCTGAGTTAGCATAATTCAAAAATCTTTGAGGGGCTACCCACTACACTTAGAATTAAATCCATGCTTTTCGTGATTGCCTACAAATCACTGTGTTCTGTATCCCTGTTTCTCCTTCCGACCTCATCTCCTAACACCCTCTCTCACACACAGGGAGATGCACTGGCCTCCTGCCAGGTCTGCAAGAAGTCTCCTTCCAGCCTGGTGGAATGCGATTGCCTCTCTGGAATGCTGTTCTCCCTCTGTATGTCTGTCTCTTTTTTATCCTTTTGGTCTCAGGTTATTTCCCTTCCAAAAGAGATCTCCTCTGACCACCCTTTCCAAACTGAGTCTCTTAATTTTATCTGGGTTCCAGTTTGGTTTCTTTCCTAGAATATACCATACATTATAATTACCCACTTACTTCTAGACATTTCTCACTTTGGACTGTAAACACAGCGAAGGGCAAAGGTAGAGACACATCCTCAGTGCCTAATACAAGGTCTAACTATTTTACACTCAAAAAAACCTGGGTCATAAAATCATGTAGTGAAATATGATGCACCCTAGGAAATTAATAGACTATTAGAGCACATTGCATGGAGTAGATAAGTACCTTTTAATGAAAATGTTATTTCAGAAGTGTAAGTATATATATGTATATGCAGGAGCATGATATAAAATATGGGCCTCAGGCAGAAAAAAAAAGCCAGAGCAAAAAATAAATTTAATAACAGTTATTAAATTAATGACTCCACCCCCCCAAATGAAAATGCCCTACAACTATTCTCATGCTTAAGACTTAAGACTTGGAAGATGATCATGTGTCTTTTCAAAAGCACTGGAAAGCCTCTTTCCTCAAGTCAAGAAATTTGTGCTGGTTGCCATCTGAAATTACTTAACGCTTCATTTCTTTGTGTTGTTTTCTTATTCAGTGAAGAAGCTGCTATGACAGGTAGCACTTAGAAACTTTTTGATTATGTGTACCTTGGTATTCTTAAGATCTCTCCCCAAAAGGAATTTCTGATTGAGGAAAGAGTATGATCCTTTGGGGGGGGCAGGGATATTTGGGATGGGGATACAGCTCTGGCACTGTGGATTGTAGAAAGCACACCTTGGGTTAGCACACCAAATATTTGTTTACAACCTGCAAAACCAGGGTCCTCATAGAAAAGAGTAAAGGTGGTAAGGAAACAAACCTTTATTTCTATGAGCTGATTTGCTTGGTGTCACTGACCTGTAATCTGGTTGTGTCAATCACTTCTAGTTCTTGTGCACAAAATGAGAATGCATTCCATGTTTAGTGATATGAAAACATTTGAAGTATCAGTTGGGTGTCCACTTTTGAAATAAAGGACAATGGGGAATAATTTGCTTCTATTATTAGCAATGTTATTTCAGAGACTAAAGAGTTCTTTTAACAAGAATAGGTTAATTTTCCCCCTAAATTCCTTAGATTATGAAGACAAACAAAATGAGAAGGAAATAATCAAAGAAAAAGCATTGTTACCAAATTAGAAGTTCAACTTAATTCTATTTCCCTTTGGAGTTCGGCATGCTGGGGGAAAAGTCTTTATTCACATTCCATCCAAGAGACCATCATCCACACCCACTTTCTTTTTAAAGGAAAACATTTACTTTTGTGACTTGGTCATAATGAAATACAAAGGACCTCTTTGTATGTGAAAATGAAACTGGGTGTGAGCCTTTTAAGGAAAAATTAAAGAAGGATGTGTATGTAGGGGGTAAAATTCCCAAGTCTTGCTCAGTTGATCCTGCCTACCTCCTACTTAGAAACCAGGCTGTGCTGCCCTATAAGGCATGAATCAGGGAGCAAAACAGCACCTCCAGAGGCTCACAGCTGAGATGCTCAAGTAGAAAGCAGCTCAGACTGTTCACGGAGCTAAGAGAACAGTACTGTACCGGGAACAGAGGGAACCCATGCCAAGCACCTTCTAGCAGATGCCTTCTACAAGATTCACTGTGTCTTCTTGAAACTTTTAGGTCATATTTACATTGCCACGCACACTGAGAGCTGGAAAACCCAGAAGTGACTTGTGATGTAACCTGGAAGAAATTGCATGGAATTGGGACATTTTTGAATGCGATTCTTCAGGAGGGCAAAACATTGCAGCAATATAGAAAGAAACAGAACTTTGAAGGCAATTTGTAGAAGTGGCTAGGAGGTTGCAGGAAGCTTGGTTCTAGCAGTTCCTCAGTTCTCTACCTGCTCCAGCACTTTTCAACCTTCTGCTTTTGGGTCATTCTCAGTCACTCCCAGCCAACAGAGTTTTCCTCCTCATCCTATAGACACTTATGGTCTAGCTTGTTCTGAATTCAACCTCCATCTCCCCCATTATCTGGCTCATGCTCATATTCTTCCTTCCTTAAACAAGTTGCCTGCAGGGTGCCTCCGTGTGCTCAGGAACCACTGCAGTCCCAGCATGGCACTGATACCATGCCATGGAAACTCACCACTTAACCCTTTACACTTAAACCTCAGTGGCCTTTTCTCAGCCCAAGGTGCTTGTCTCTGTGAAGCATTTGACACTGTCAATCTCACCTCTCCTCTTTGATCCATCCTCTTAGCCTCTTTTAGTTTTTTACTTTTATACTGTGATCACAGTTTATCTCCTGCCTTTAGCTGCTGTTTATCTGTTCCTTTTGCTGTCTGGGGTTTTCCTAACTTTCACTCTACAATCACTCTGCAGGATCTCTTGTGACTGCCAGATTAATCTTTGATTAGGCCACACTTCCTATGTCCCCCTCTCCTGCCTTCCATCTTAAAACTCCATTCTCATCAATCAGCCACACAAATTCT